GGCAAGAAATGAAAAATTAAAAAACCGAAGATAAGCAAACATGCATGTGATCTTCACTATATAAACACTCCAAGAGAAGAAAAAAGGAAAAATAAAAGAAAAGAAAAATGAACTCAAACCTGTCTAGGTAGGCCCCACAATCTGCGTAAATATAAATCCGATTCGGATGCAACAATACCTGAAGGCAATCTCTCGGCGCCTCTCGGATTTGTCGGCACCCAAATCTGATTTTTAATTAAAAAAAAAATTAGAATAAATTCACATGATTACATTTTAAACACAAATGTTTCTGCTTTTTGTATATTGGCAGCTCTTTCTGACGTAAAAATCTTGAATGCTCGATGGAATAGAAGAGAGCGATACGTACTTTTCGCATGATGCAATAGAAATGCAAACAAAAAAAAACAGACAAAAGAAAGATAGAAAAAGGCACAACCTTTGTTATATCGTTCGCGATTCTGTTTTCAGGACCATGGAGAATAACCGAACTGATATTTATCTGACGATTAAAAAAATAAAAGCATTATATATCCACACAATGCACTAGAAAAAAACACAGACAATAAAGAAAAGAAAACAAGAATCGATCGAGCTCGTGTATACCTTAGTTAATGGAAGTGTGTGAAAGGAGACTCCAATGAAAAAGCCGAACACGATTCCAACACTACTTGCAATCATAATCACAATGGCTTGATTTGGTTTATTAACAAGTATGCTGAGCATTAAGAAAAGAAAAAAAAAATATAAAGTTGAAAAAATCTTTTGATCATATGCAAAAAAATAAAAAAATGGTTTTCGTGTAGCCAAAATAGACCTTCGCGCGGTTTTCTCTTTTGCTGTATACATCATTTCTGCTTCCATTTTTTACAGAATTCGGCTAAAAGCAGAGAAAAGACAATACAAAAAGTTTAATTGCCAAGCAAACTATAAAGCAATCAAATCTGTCACATGAGCACTGCACATTCTAAATGTCTATTGCTGGTTTTAACAGCAAAAGACCTTAAAAAAAAAAATCGAACTTTCGATTGAGTGAAGGAGAAATAATCTTCCAGAAATGTCAACTTAGGCTCAAATCCAGAGTTTTATTTTTATTTTTTCTATTAATTTTTTTGAAGTTTGGTTCTAAAGCAAGCAAGCTACATGTGCTAAGGTTTGACAAAAGGCATGGCATAAGCTAAACTTGATTAGACAACTGGCTTCAGCTTTGATTAAACATACACTAACTGAAGTTAAATTGAACATCAACAAAAGTTACATAATAGCTGCAAAAAAGGTGGCAAATTGACATAGCTTTTTGATGTTTAAACCTTCAGTAAATGCATGAACATACGTGTAAGTTGTGAACAACAGAGGATTTTTNGGAATAATTTTGTGACTGAAAAAAGGTAAAAGTAAAGGGAAAGGGAAAAACAAGAGAAAAAAAAAAAATATCAGTACTTTGTCTAGAAAGAATAAATATATATTCCTTCGGTTTTGTAGGAAAAACCGAAAAATAAATGTTAGAACATTAATCTCGTGAATTTGTTAGTTGAGAGTTATATGAGATTTTATTGCTTGAGCTCAATTTTCTTTTCCATTTTGATACTTCAATGGCATTTCCATATTTTTTTAAATTCATTCTTGATGAATAACTGAATCTTACAACTTTGAAGGGAAAAAATATCAACACATTAGCACAGAATGTAATACAAACTCTCATTGGCTAGTCTTTCCAAAAAAATAGTATGTACATTACACAAATGATGTTAATCAGTCATACTTTTTTATAAAAAATAAATTTTTATATTATAAAATATTATATTTTTATTTTTAAAGTATTTTAAAGTATGATATTTAAGTATGAAAGTATATATATTTGTTGAAACAGTATGACCGTCTAAGACGGTCTAACAAAATACCTATATGCATTATAATCAGTGTTCCAAACAACATAAAAGTGCCTTAAAGAATTGAGCACTAACCCTTGTTTTTTCTTGGCAAATTAATGTTATAATCAAAACATTATTACAATAAGATAAAAACACTAGCAAACAAATTAATCCATTGTTTATTTGCTCTTTTTTCTTCATCTACAAATCTTGAGAAACAGTATTCCCAATGTTCTATTCCATTCCTTATTTCATTTTTTTTTTCAATCACCACATGTATTTTCATATGATCATTTATTACAAATCCTACAAAGCAACTATTGAACCTTATCAATTGCAGTAGGAGATAAATAGGACAAAAATATGAAACTTGTTTTCTTTATTTTAATTTTNCGATGACGAAAAAAAAAAAACAAGAATTGAATGCCAATTTTCTTAGCCTTCTTCCCTTCTATTTTCGAGCCTGGCGTCGAAGTACTCGACTGATTTACCCGAAACAATAAAAGAAATCGAGCACATAAAATTTGACCATCAAATACTTGTAAATTCTGCTCGAGGGGCCAACACCACCCATCAAAATGAAACAAAACACTAGCAAGAATTCGTCTTTAAAGTGACGACAGTCATTGAAAGCCGAAGAATTTTTCATGCAATTCACAAAGAAAACAGTCTACGTGAGATAGGCCAAAAGCTCGTTTATATAGTCCCCACACGCCCATTACAAAGAAAACAGTGTACCGATATTTTTTCAAGCAATTCACAAACAAAATGCAAGTATAAATCCAGAATCGCTACAAGTAGAATCGTGAACACAAACAAGCTTCCTAACATGCAGGGGTACCTGAGCTGGACGAGCATGACGGGCCAGGCTGGCTGGTGTGGGCCCGTAAAAGAAGCCCATTAAGGATAGTCTCGTGGGCCCGTACAAAAAAAACTACTTTTGCAGTCAACAATTAATCTTTTTTCCTATCTTGGTTTTTCATAATGCAACTTTGAGATTCAAATGTTCAAACAAATTTAAGATGGAACAATAAAAAGGGCTCTTATCTTGTACTCTCAGCTTTGCATCCTATTACAGGCAAAATCGAGCTGAACAGGAGGATCCGAAAACGAACCATTCACAATCTGATCAAAGATCCATTTGTTGGCTGCCTCTGTAAAGTGGGCCCCATCCCAACTTATCCGAACAGATGGGTCCACACACGACTTGGCGATTACACTCTCTTTCCCTTTCACAACATTCTTCACGCCGCATTTGAAAAGTGCATTGTAATTATATTTCCCTCCGTGACCACAGCAAACAAGAAACGGGTTCTCAAATCCTGCCACGTCAGCACACCAAAAAGTCAAGAACAAGTTCGTAAAAATTCGTAAAAAAATTCGAATCACAAGCAGAAGCTGAACAAAAACTTGCCCAGTTCCTTTGCTCGGCTGATGAGAGAATATTTGACCGAATAAACATCAACGTAGGTAATGGCAGCTAAAGGAAGTTCCTTTCTAAGTCGATAAACTGTGTCCTTTAGTTTAAGATTGAAATACTTTGAGACATCATTGTACGGGCTCGAGCAGCCGTATTTATCAATCTGTGCTGCAGTGACTAAAAACCTGTCCATTACATACGGCAAACAGCCAACGGGACCAGTGTTGTGTATCCAGAACGATCTTCCTCCAAGAGCATACACCAGCTATATTATAAAGAAAGATTAAAAAATTATTAATTAAACTAATATAATATAGCTTGTATGTTTGTCTGATCACCTTTATAACGGTTGACAATTGAGATAATAAATCGGGCACGTACGCCTTGACTTGCTCGGTTGAAAGGTTGAGCTTATAACCGGCAGTTAAGTCATTCTGGCCTATGTCGAACGTGTATAATGCCCGAGAGAAGTAATCTTCTTTTGGCAGCAAATTGTTGAAGTAGTCTTTATATCAAAAGGGGCAAAACAAAAACAAGAAAAAAGTGATTCTTAGCTTAAAGTAGTTTTTCAATGTCTCATTGATCTAATCAAAATACAGAAGTGGTATGCCTTAGATTTCAGATTCTGCTTTTAATTTCTAAACACAACCCAGCTTCTGATTCTTTAACATGTTTCTTTCTTATTTTATTTTTTATACAATAAATTGCATGTCCTAATCTAAAAG